ACGCGACGCGTCGTGTGCTGCCGCCCTTTGCTTCATGGTGTTTATAGAGGGCGCCTTTACTGTTTTTTTTTTCATTTCCTTCCCCCGGCCCGTGCTAGCACAGTACATGCCATAGGTACCAGGCCTTGATTCTGTTGTTCTTTTTCGTGGATTCTTCTTTCTAACTTTGTGTTATCATTCAGAGAGAGTTGTTGAAGAAAACTCTTCTCCTTTTTTTTTAATCAAATGTAATCAGAAAGAGCTTCGCGACTAATCAGCATTGTCTTCAGGAAATATATAACATTAACGTCAGCCACAACAATGTTTTAGCTTTTCCTGATCTAATTCTGATTTTTCTAATAATTATTGTAAATCCATTCTATGATACAATACATCAATCATTATTACGTGCTGGCAGAAATGTAACATGCGGATCTGATGAGAAATTAAAGCGCGAGGCCAAACAGAGAGGAAGAAAAGACACCGCCACAATGGCAGTAGGACTTTCTACAGTGTTTAATTAAGAAACAAGGACTAATATCATTGAAAGTGTGGTGCTGATGAAGTTAACGAGGAATACTAAACTGAAAGAAGACTGAATATTCTAAGGGTAATAATATAGAGCAGGCTGGGTGGTAACTGCCTGGGCCCGTAGTCAAACTTGCGGTGGTACAATTGTAAACAAATTGTCTGGAGGAGTGGGAGAACTACTTGGAAACTGATTGCATGGACCACAGAAAAATATTTATAAAGTTACAAATCTACCACAAATGGGAACTTCATCAACGGTTCTAAAAAGAAATTGGACGGACATTTGAACAGGGATCAGCCGGGTAAATTAAAAAGTGACGAATTCTGGGCTTACACTTATTATGTGAGAGCACCTACATACGCAGACTTTCTTTTTGCTCGTTTTCATTTTTTCCCGATAAAATATGACAAAACTAATTCAATTTGATGAACGGATGAAACACCCCCCAAAAAATCAACGCCTGCGGCTCAGGGCATGTATTTTGCAAGCGTGTTGGACGGAGATTAGAGAAAACAAAAGAAATCATTGACTGGGAAATTAAAGAGTGACGAATTCTGAGCTTGCGGTTTCCACTTATTTTGAGAGAGCAGTTCCAATTTATTGGGATTTTCTTTTGCTCTTTTATCATTTTTTTCAATAAAATATGATTGAAATCAATCCCAATAAATGAATCGATGATACAAAAACAATGAAAAATCAACACCAAAGAGCGAATTGCATGTACTTTGCAAGAAAGGTGGACGGAAATGAAAGAAAACAGTAAAGGCACCCTCTATAAACACCATGAAGTAAAGGGCGACAGAACACGACGCGTCGTGCGTCGCGTCGGGTGTGCACACACGAGATGGCAAGAAGGCGACGGTTCGACCCGACGGCACGACGCAAGGGAGCCGTCGCGTCGTCTGGTTGCGTCGCCTGGAGGGAGGAAAGAGAGAGAGAGAGAAATGTTTGTCGTAAATAGTACACCATACGAACGCCCTGTTCGTTGGATAAAGGTTTCAAATGGAACGTTTGGGACACTTCTCGCTTCAGTCGTGGAATCGGGGGCTGATTAAGTGTTCTGTCGGCCTAAGGCACTGCTAGTGGGCATAGGAACTGTAGTGATGACCAAGAACCTCCAATGTCATTGAGCAGGTTGCAGCAAAGCCTCGTGTTTCATTTTGAAAAAGCTAGTTTGAGTGTTTATCGGAAATCTGATAGGCATTGGAACTATTAAAAACCTTTCTTACTGTTTCAATAGACTTGGTGTCAAGTTGGTAATTGTTGGTTTGGTAAAAATTATTTTCCAAGCTCAATAACGTTGTGATCTACAAGTGCATTACTTGATGCGATGTGCACATTACATCTACTCATTATAAATGTATTTCTGTCTTTGCACGAGGATTATGGAAATAGTCCGGGGGAACAGTCTGACTGGTTTAGATTTTTTCGACTCTGTCCATCCAACAGCGCATTAAGCCAATTACAAGATGAAGTGATGATTATGAAGATAAGAAATGTTCAGTTTTAGAGGCAGGAGGAAAACCCCGGATGAGTATTCGAGGCAAAACCAACAGAATCAAATCCCCATGCTGACCCTAGTTGGGACTCAAAACCATTCATTATAAAATGCATAAAACCATATGCTTTCATATATTGAGTATTTTTATTGAAAACCAACATGCGGCATACGGAAGTGTGAGAATATTTCTGTGAGCACAAAGTGAGCGCAGCTTTAAATGAGCAACCAACTAACTTGCTACCGTTTTTAAAACAGACACTTATTAATCAGCTAAAAAAAATGAGTTCACAACCTTACTTAAAGATTCACATTTAACAACTTCCGGCATAAAAGAGTCAGTTTTAACTGAGAACGAATAATTTTGTTATGTAGACAAAGTTTCTTTGATTTTGAATTCCGTTGTTGGTAACTTCATTCAACAGAAACGTCAGCACTCTGCTTTTCACTTTGGTTTCATCTCTGCCCCGAAGAAGAATTCTGTTACTCATATCACATCGTCTTGTCACACGATTTGGGTTCAGTGCGTCTTTAGATCCGATAAACACAAATTATGGCTGTCTTGGAGATTTTTCCGGTGAAATCTGGGGAAAATAAACGACAAATTAGTCAATCAGTTTTTGAAACCACTTTTGCCAATAAGTAGCATTTCCGACAGTCCCTACTTCCAGATAGTGAAGTTTCATATACGAAGTCTGATAGGTTCGATAGACTGTCATCAATTTCTTACTAGGCCTATATAGGCTTAAAGTTAAGCATTATACGGTAAAATTTGAGAAACTTTCTGAAAAAAAATGTAGCTCACAATTCCTTCTGTTCAAGTTCTTCCAAACTTGACGTTGATCTCCAGTAATTCACTGCTGCGTACACTTCAACCATTATTCTTTCCAAATTTATCCATTCCCAAGTGCAGAATTCAGTTTTTCTTCGAAATCTGACGACTGAAGCACAAAAACCTCAACCGGTTTTTGAAAAACTCCATTTGAAAGTACACGCAACGAAATACGGCCGTTCCACAATAGTGCGCCACCAAGAGTTTGCAACGTGTTGGTCAATCACTATGGGTGCGTTCGATTAGCTTTAATACACGTGTAAGTCAAACTTACACGAGAGCGTTCGTTTAGCCATCACGTGATGTTCGTGCCTGCCCTGGTGTCAGCCACCACTACCCCAGCTGGCAAGCGGGTCTCTGGAGGCTGCCCGAGTGTAATGACGTCACGGATGGACTGTTCGAGCATGGACGTAGATGATGGAATGAGGCGGGGACTTGACCTTTATCCCAGAATGCCTTGGAAAACACACTGCAGCGTTCGATAAGCCTCATTTTGAGGCTTCCCTTGAGTGTAACACTGGTGTGTCCAGGGAAGCTAATCGAACGCACCCAATGTGCGAAATTTGTGGACCCAATGCGCGTTTGGAAAGGTCAAGAAATTCCGCGCGTTAGTTGTCCCAGGTTCGATTCCCGGCCCGGTCCACCTTTGTTGTCCCAGGTTCGATTCCCGGCCCGGTCCACCTTTGTTGTCCCAGGTTCGATTCCCAGCCTGGTCCACCCGTGGATTGGATTTTAAGTCCCTACCTGACTCCGTGGGATTTACCCAGAATATTCCTCTGGGGTTTTCCTCCCACCTCTAAAACTGTAACTGCTTCTTACTGTCGCCCCTTTACTGATGTCGGTGAATACAAGGCGCCCTTGTAAGCCATCGGCTCAACCGTGTTTAAATGTATTCATTGTTCCACGCTTAATGTCTTCATTGTACAGCCCATTTACATATCTATATGAAATTTGCGGTTTATAAATGAATAGATTATTATGCCCCTGTTCGGAGCGGGGTCAAAATATATTATTGGTATTACCTGTTCGAGAAAGTGGTTAAGCCAGCCTTTGTCTTGAATGTAAACTTCAAGGCTACAAATTTGGGCAGCTATTGTAATAGCCTTTCAAAATGGATCTTTTCCAACAGGAAAGAACCTTAAAAAACAAAAAATACCCTCTGGGATTTAAACCAAGAACAATATCAAACCTTTTCTTTACCAGCCTCGCTGCGCAATCCAGTTCGACCGAATTTCTTTTCCCTTCAGTTCAATTTAAAAATGATCCTGTTACAAGCAGATTAAATGGCTGTGTCGCTTCAATTCATTAACAAAGTGTAGCATATAAAACAATTTCGATTTGTTACTACTCGGCATACATTATTCGATTCATTTTATTCTATGCTCCAAATCTCAGTTTTTCATTCGTCGTCCATTTTTCTGTCCAGATTTTGCATGTAGACTGTCCCAATTCGATTTCAATTTTTTTTTGTCAACTTGAAAATTTTCGTTCGTTTGCTGCGCACGAGGGCGAGCAAAATCAATAGGGTTCCGTTCTGTGAGAGCTATTTTCAAATGTTGCGATACATTAGGGTACCATTCACCATTCTCGGGCGACGACGTACGTGGCGGAACAAACCTAACCCAGTCTGAAGCTAGCCCACAATTCCCCTTCTTCAGCCTTGTATTCAGCGTGTAGTGCAAATGGTGCATGGTACCCAGAAGTACATATATCTACTGAATTGGATACGGTCAGAAAGGAGCCCTGTTAATTTCTTTTGACCCCTTGCGCTCAGGGAGGACGCAAAGACTGCTTTTTCCTTTAGTCCAGTTTAACACCCTTCTAGACCGGAAAGTAATAGCTATAATAATCTTGGAGGGTTTTCAGCAGATGGAAGTTAAAATGGTGTAGTAGCTAAGAGAAAATGACATTGAGAATCGTACCCCTGTACATTTTCAATGGGCCGCTCAAGCTTCATGCCTCCACATGCCATTTATGCGCATGCGCACATAAATTAATTAGAATTATTAGTGGAAGGGGTCTATGGGAGGGTAATTCGTGGTGCGTGCGCGTGTATATGACGAAGTCACTTACAATGCCTACTATGTTCATCTGTACTTCCAAAACTTTCGCCACACTCATATCAACCTGTATCAACGTTTATCAAACCACACAGGTTTGCTGTAGTGACTACACAGCCGTGTTTGTCTACCTGTGGTACACCATGAAGCTTCTGGAAGTTGCCATCCTTCTAACCTCCATTGGTAAATGTTGTTTTCATTAATTGATTAGTCATCTCACTGGAGAAAGGAAAGACAAACAAAAAAGATCAAATTCGACACACAGCATTGCATGCAGTTGATGTCATCCTTAGTAGAAATCGTCAAAGCGGTGCCCTAAATAGGTTTCAGAAGCTGATAATTACTAGTACACGTCAATTGCATGATTTAGGAAATAGTGTAGATGAGAATATGACAGTAATTCTTTCCAATGCAGGAGGCATCATGGGGTTGCAGTGTTACACCTGCACCAATGGAGCTGGTGCAGGTACCGACACCAGTGCCTGCGATGACCCATTCGATACCAGCACCACTGATCCTTACGTTCTGAAAACCACTTGCACAACTGGGTTCGATACCTGTGCCGTAAGTACCAAATCTCAACTATAGTATAAAATAACCCATGTAAACACTGTAAGCTTGTGGGCTAAAAAATTACAATATACCTTGTGAGCTTCTTTGAGAGAAATTAGATGTATTTTTCACACATTTTGTCTTCAATCGTTTCAGCTACAGAGCCACTCTAGAATTTTAAAAACAATGTCGCCAGTTTTCTTTGTACTAAAAAAAAAGTACTGGAAACCACTCCAGAAATAAAAACAACTCGTCTTTTGTGTACACTTGAAGCGTTACCACATGCAACAACAGGCCATGCTATCGCCCCCACACAAGCAGTTTGATCGTCGCAAGTGTTTGTGTATTTGTCAACGCATGTATCTGCCCATGTTTTGTTTTGTGCACACAGAAAGCAACTCTATCCAGTGGCGGATCGAATTTAGTGGCGAGAACGTGTTACTCCAGTCTTGTCTGCCCAGCTCAAAATGGATGCGCCTCGGGCGACTATGGCGGCCAATCCGCCACAGTCTGCTGCTGCAGCGGCAGTCTGTGCAACGGAGTTGGGTCGTTGGCCGCAAACGTCATCGCTACTGTCGCCATCATCTTCATGGCAATGCTTCTCGCTCGCTAGGAGCTAGACGAGTAAGAACGAGACGCTAGACACTTAGTTTAGCTTGGCACTGCATTCTACCTCCACATTTTTGAAGTTATTTCTGAATAACGAACGCGCATCGATAACCTGGGAAATTTATCCTACAGAAAATTTGGAAAAAGAAAAAAGTAAAATCATTCAGAAAAAACAGTGCGAGCCTCACTTTGACATCCAACGTTCCTGCCCCCCCAGTTGAGCATCCTAGCTTCGCCTGTGGTATATACATGTACATTATATACCAGAACCACACTGAATTGTCTAAATTGCGGTTGCTCGGTTTAAAAAAATCGACGGCTATACCAGCCCCATAATAATGGAAATCGAGAAAAGAAATCCAATGATGAGAAATGTTAGAGTTTGAGCCAATTTGAAATTTATTCATTGAAAAACCACTCTTCAGAATGTATACTTGATTGAAACCTCAGTTTAACAGTTGTGCAAACCAGTAGCGAAATGGTCCTGCGAATTGTAATTTCATTTGTGGAGTACAAATATGTCAAAGCCAAGTTCTGTTATTGAAGTACATAGACTAGCACGGTTAAGGTACACAGATTGTGGCAAAGACTACAGGGTTTTTTTGTTGATCGTTCATACTTTCTAAAGATTGAGTATTAAATACTATGACGTCTTGAATACATAAAAACGATCTGATATTCATGATGTAATACATTCATACAGCAACCGATAGGTGGCACAGCCGCCTATATTTTGACTTAAAGCAAAGAAAAATGAACTACTAAAACAATACGGGAATTTGGTCAAATAAAAAGCCTCTTTGTGATGGGTGGACCTCAAGCTTAACCAAGTCGCAATCT